TTGTTTTATTAGATCTTTTTCATTATTGGATGTCTTGCTGTTTTGTACTCATATTTCAATTTGTGATTGAAATAAATAAACAAAAATAAAAGAAATAAAAACCTGGCGCCGCAGATGTGACAGGTGAAGGGTTTCTCTCCCGTGTGGATGACTTTGTGTCTTTTCAGCGCGGTGCCGGTGCGGTAGGAGCGGCTGCACACGTCGCAGGCGAAGGGGCTGTCCCCCGTGTGCTTCCTCTTGTGCACCGTCAGTGAGTGGGCGTACTTGAAGGACTCCTCGCACATGGTGCACTTGTACTTCCTGGCGTCGGTGTGGACCTTCTGGTGGAAGCGCAGGGTGTCCTTGCTCTTGAACTCCTTCCCGCAGGTGGCGCAGGCGAAGGGCCTCTCCTCCGAGTGCACGGCCATGTGGCACCGCAGCTGCACCGCCGTCTTGCAGGTCTTGTCGCAGAACTGGCACTTGAGCGGCTGCTTCCGCTTCTCGTGGCGCAGGAGGTGGTTCTCCAGGGACTGCCGGACCCGGAACGTTTTCCCGCACTGCTCACAGGCGAACGGCTTCGGTGGTTTGGAGCCCTGGTGGCGTTTGAGGTGGTTCTGAAGCGACTGCTCCTTCTTGAAGGACCTCTTGCACTGAAGGCAGGGGAAAGGCAGCGGGGCTTTCTCGGACTCGTGACTCAGGAGGTGACTTTCCAGGGACGACTTCTCCAGGAAGCTCCGGCTGCACCGCTCACACGCAAACGGCTTCTTGTGGACCTTCATGTGTTTCTTCAGATCGCCTTTCCAGTGGAAGCCGGTGTCGCAGAGCTCGCAGAAGAACCGCTTCCCCATCTGCGACTCGGTCCTCCTGAGGCTTCTCGACGGCACGTCATCCGGACTCGTTTGATTCTCCTCCGAGGCGTCGTCGAGAGAAACTGCATGAGAAGAGGAAAGTACAAATGATTTAACTCTTATCTGAAGTAGGGTTGGGCAGAATCGTATCGTGTGCAGTTAACCACCAGAAAAGCATTAATCGATTACTTTTTTTGCACTCGACAATTAATATGATTAATACCACCAGTCAGTCCGCTGCTCCTCTCCAATTCAAATATGATGAACATTACAAAAGTTCTGTAATTTATTTATTAACACAATTTAAAATTTGATGTACAGCCTGAAGTCTGTCATTTTGAAACAGTTTGGAACTGGTTTTTACGAAGAGCAAATCTTTCCCACTAAATTGGTCATGTGACCAGGACATGAGGGTGTCCAGGGGATTAATCGTTATCGGCTAAATCAGGTTTCCTACAGTTTAAAGCAAGTTAAATTTAAGACTTTTGAATGCCAACTGCAATTAAATTTAAGACCAATTTCATAACAAACACAAATGACAAAAAATAAAAATAAAACTGTGGCAGAAACTCATGAATCAAAGTATTTTTGGTTGAAGTAATATTGCTAATAGACCAATTGTTTTTATGCAGATCTAACTATAGCAGAAATATTTTAGCAGTCAGTTTAACGACCCAGAATTTGGAGATTTAGGACCCACAGTGGGGTCTTAACCCCAATTTGCTGTAGATAAAACCTTAGTGTGACATCAAGTTTGTGTAAGAAATATGAATGCATTTTTGTAAAGACACCATTATTAACATATTAAAAAATAATTTCACATTGCTCAGATGAACAGTTGTTGAGATATCTGCATGTGAAATAACAGGAAGTGATGTCAAACGGGAATGTCTGCATGTGAATATTAAAAAAACAATTTTTACCAATTATTTTAATATTTGAGGTGAATTACTATCATCCTATTTACAAAGTGTTCACATTTTTAAGACTTCTGAAAGATTGATTTAAGACATTTTAAGGCTAATTAAGGCCTTATTTTTGGATTGATGAATTCAATGACTTTTAAGATTTTTCAAGGATCTGCAGGAACCCTGGAAATACCCCAATTAATTGTGATGAATTCTTTTTGCCAACATTGCCCAGTCCTACAGCAGAGTCCTGACGGCGTCTCTCGTACCTCCTTCAGTTTGATCGGTTTCTTCGATTTGGTGCGTCGTTTTCTCAGAGAGTCCCTCCTCCAGGAACGTCTGGAACAGCTGCGAAGACAAAGATCCCACCTCAGTTCTAACTTTCACTTCAACTCTAAATTCTCATTCTGAAGGCCGAACCTTTTCCTGTGCATCGTCCGGACCGCCAGCGCCGCCCGAGTCTGGACTGGGTGTGTCCTGAGCTGCAGGTTCGGGGGACGTCGGGGGTTTCGGGTCGAGCGCCTCCGCTTCGGAGACGCTCAGCGAAGACACGGCGGTCTGAGAGACCACCTCGTTGGCGCCCACCACCAGCACCGTGGAGGAGGGGATCGTGCCGATGAACACCACCGGAGATGCGGAGACCGCCGCGAAGGAGGTCGGGGAGCCGGGGACGACCTCTGCACCTCCCGACGCAGCCGAAGGCGAGTTTGGGGCATCCCTGCAGTGAATCTGATCGGAGGAGATGGAGAGGACCTGTCCACCTGAGCTCAGAAACACGATGGAAAAGGTGAATGTGCAGCCATCTTGCATTAACTTGATCTGATAATGCTTGGAGTAAATGTTGTGAATGACTCTCAGCTACTACCACATAAAATTTTAGCTCGCTGTCTTTAAAATTATATGGGTTACATACAGTTTTTGTTTTTTCAATATAACGCTTCTGGGGCGGCCATCTTGAACTGTTTTGACTTCAAACAATAATCAGTTGTAGATGTCATGCTAATCACTAATTTCTAAAAGTTTGGTTAAAATCCGTTCATCGGTTCAAGAGATATTTTGCTAACAGACAACCAGAGTGTGCGCCACATACTTCATGGCAAAACATTTGACAAATGTCTTACACATTTTGTTAGCACTTAGATTATGTGTCGAGGATCAGGCTCAGCTACCATCACACCAAAAGTTACACTAATATTTGTAAATTTAACGTAGCTTTAGCCATTTTTGTTTTTTTAAGGCGGTTCGCTGTGACAGCCATCTTCAATCTGATTAACCTTAAAAGTAAATCAGTTGCAGATCCGCATCCAATGATTACTTTCTGAAAGTTTCATTAGAAACTGTCCAGTGGTTGCTGAGATATTTTGCTAACAGATATTAATGATGGCAGCCGCTCACCTGTAGTGGATCCCTCCTCCTCCTGCAGGTCTTCAGGTTCTTCCAGGCTCTTCCTGTCCCCCTCATTGAAGGTCTTCAGCTCCTTCTCCAGCTGCTCCATGTCCCGGCCCAGCTGCCCCACTCTGGCCTCCAGCTCCTGCTCCAGCTGCTCGGCTTTCCTCCGCAGGACGTCCTCCAGCTGCTCCACTTTGGCCCGCAGAGCCTCGTTCTTCTCACGCAGCTCCGCGCAGAGCTCCGCGAACACCGTCCGGATCTGAGCCACCAGGCCCCTCTCTATCTCCCGGACCTGTCCGAGCTTCACCTCCTCCTCCTCCTCCTCCTCCTCGCCACAGTCCGAGTTCGGCGCATCTTTCGCCCGAACCTCCCTGAAAACAGACACGGTGGCTCGGATGGCGACTTCCACCACAGACGCCACTTCTCTGTCGAAGCGAGCCTCCATTTTTACACAAGTTCAATTCAGATGTAAAACTCAGCTTGTTGAAAAACGACACATCGTAGATTTAACCTTAAATAGAATCTTGAACAGATAAAGTTAAACTCTTCGCGCAATAATACTCGTTTTCCTTCTTCTAACTCAGTTCTTTACGCTGTAAACTGTGCGTCAGTGAAAACAGTCCGAACTTTATTTCCGTTTCCGTTTGAAGTGAAAATACCTCCCCCTGGCGGCCGCTGTTAAAATTACGTTTTCTTTGTCGAATAAAATCATTCAGATTTTATTAAAATCTGAATGTAAAATATAT